ACGAGACCAGCAGCTCTACATTCATCTTGCCTTGCATCTTCCTCGTCTTATTTCTTCCCGGCAGTGTAGACGCTACTTGGCGTATATCTTCTTCGCCGTTACGTATGTGTGCGCGGCAAGACCGTTTTGTGTTTGAGCGCCCCCAAGTTGTGTTTTACTGTAACTTCAGAAGCTCCAGACACGTGCAATATTATCTGCCTGCAGTCCCGGAGGCTGCATTTTCAGGACCCCACTTCTAGGACCGCATTTCTAGGCAGGCCCGCCCACAGAAATGACTGGGCCCCTGAAAAGGTCCAGTGAATGGGCCCTCCCCAAATCTGCAATAGGCTACTCATATCATGCGTGTGCTCTCTTTCTCTCCTACATTAACACATATTTAACTGAGAGAGACTTACTCTGTGATGGGGTACACACACACACACACACACACACACACACACACAGGGCTCTCAAGTGTCACGCATTGAGCATGACAGTCACTAATTTCGGTCTTTTGTCACGCACTCCCGCCGCATATTGTATTTCTCACGCGGAAAAAACAATTTATAATATATTTAATATGTCGCAGCGCCCAAAATGTCTCTGGCCGCACCGCTCAGGCAAATAAAAATTGTCATGAAACAACTCATTCCCGCGACCTGTCCAATATGGTGTGTTCACACCGAACGCGAATTTAATTATTTGCACGAGTAGATTACATACAAAGTCAATGCAAAGACGCGAATAGACACATCATTCGCGCCGGGCGTCGCGAATGACGCGAATTGGGCGACGCGTTTGCCGCGAACGTCTTCCGCGCAAGTTGAAAAATTTGAACTTGAGTGGAAGATTCAAGCGTCTAACTAGACGCGTATTTGACGCTCTATTCGCGTTCGGTGTGAACACACCATAAGGTTGCCACTCTGCAGAAGCAAATTCCATCCTATCTTCGATACACTGTAAAACCCAACAAGTTCAGCTAACTCATTTTATTTGAGGAAACTGATTACCTAAAACAATTTAAGTTTAATAAAAACAATAGTTATGAGTGCTCTGAACTTATTTTCATTGAGTCACTAAAACAATAATAATTCTGAATACACAATTAAACTTTACACTGCATTTAAATACTAAATAAAGCTTAAACTTCACTTTATTGAGTAAAAACAGTGAAATGACAAACTTTAAATGAACTCAGAGCACTTGCAGTTACTGCTAGCTCACACCATCACACACAAAGTCAAATCCAATGAGTTAAGCTAACTCATTACATTTGATGTAACTGATTACATAAATTCTTTTAAGTTTATAAAAACACAAAAGTTATGAGTACTCTGATTTTTTTTCAGTTGAGTGATTAATTAGGTGATTAGTTAAGTGATTAGTTAAGTGATTAATTAAGTGATGGTTGAGTATTAGAGATGAACACCTGCTGTTAATCAGCCGAATCACTGAAGGAAAGATGAACACAAGAACTACAACTGACTTCCAACCACGACATTCGATGAAATCAACTGAAGATAATATGTTTAAACCTCTAAACATCTCAGCAGAGGAGAATTGAACATCTCCACAAACAGCATTACCAGCTTCACTTATTACCAACCAGTTTGAGTTTTATCATGCGTCTACAGAAGTTTTTATTGTGAATGTACAGAGGTCTAGATGAAGATGATTTATTGAGTTTTATTTAAAGACACCATGATAGTGGTCAGTGTTTGCTTTAGTTGGGCTCTTGACCCTTGACTTTATAACAACAGTTGTTCCTCTGGCTGCTGTAACTGAGTGTTTATGACACGCATTTGTTATGGCACAAAAGCCAATGTGAGCATGTGGTTGTGTTTCGACAATGATTTATGAAATTATGAATCATCATTTAGTGTCTTGATTCTCTGATGTCTGTACTAATCTCTGATTAAAAAGGTGATGTATTACTTGTATGACTCTTAATAAGTTGCAGTGATTCTGCTGTAAGGCCAAATGTTGTGACAATCAGATTTTAAAAACCTCTATGGTATCATGCTGACTTACACATCAAGAATCAGTATATGAATCTCAACAGTGGTGACCTTTCAAAAACTATTCATGCTGCAATGAATGCTGGAAGCTGTGTATGCGTTGTGTATTATGGTATTACCCAGCATGCATTGCAGCATGAATTGTTTTTTTCAAATGGTCACCATTCTTGAGATTCATATCCTGATTCTTGATGTCTGTGTTATTCATTGTAATGCAATGTATTTTCTTGTTTGTTTGTTTTTGTGCACAAACCATCTGTAAAATCGTCCAAATGATCTATAACATGGTTTTCTCTTATGCTATAGCATCACAGTTTAGAATTAAACTAAGAATTTTACCCTTTTAATCAGAGCTTAGACTCTGATTGAGATCAGTCAGTCAAGTCACTAAATGATGATCATCATCATCATCATCATCATCATCATTCATTAACCAACATCACCGTATCATACTTTTCCTTGATCTCTCTGCCATAATACATGTGTTTTTAAAATGAATTACAGCAGCCAAAGAAAAGCATATGTGCAAATGTCAAGCGTCAAGAGCCCAACTAAAGCAAACGCTGATCTCCATCATGGTGACCTTAAACCTTGTTTCTCTTTCATTCAGTGATTCTGCTTAATAACAGCAGGTGTTCATCACTAATGCTCAATCATCTCTTAATTAGTAACTTAACTATACAATTATCATTCAATTATCATTCTGGGATCAAGAATGTTCCATAACTCATAACATTTGAGTTCTGTTTCAGTCTTTGTGTCCACATAGCTTTCGGTAATATTTGAGCCCAGTAAACTCAATTTAATTTAGTCCAAAAAACTGTTAGGTTTTACAGTGTATGTTGGAGTAGTTTTAGCCGGACAGTGCACATGACAACTGCTGTAAATGACATGAAATTATCTCAGTCCTCGCGCATCTGATAAGGCCTCATTAGATAATTTACAGGACGATTTTAGGCAATCGATTGCTTTAATCACACTGGGGAGATGGTGAGCAATAGGTCTTACTTTTTCTTTTACTGTCTATGGTCTTACCGCGTCAATTCGCGCACTCCATCATGTGTCACTCACTTGCGCTGCTGACCGCGAACTGCCGCGAAGCACTGGCGTTTTGACTTTGCGTTACGTACAACAAAAAATAGCCTACTCAGACCATTTTCAGGAGAGGGGTGTTTCATTATGACACAGGCTACATTTTACTCAAGCAACATTAAATAAAATGCATTTTTTCTCACTTTCTACAATAAATGGTGCTATTTTGGTTAAAAATAAAACATGGTAACCTTTGCTTATATTTAGGATGAACATAATTATTGCTGGACTGCATGGGCCCCCCCTAGCGGCTGGGCCCCAGAAAACGTTCCCCTTTATCCCCCCTTATGGACGGCCCTGTTTCTAGGACCCTAGTTTTTTGTAGCAGCGCCACCTACCGAGTCGGAGAACCGCAGTCCCAGGAACGCATTTCCAGGACCCTAGTTTTGGAGGACCGAAAAAAGTGCCACCAAGACAGTATTTCCACCCAGTTTGAACTACATTAGAGGGTTTTTTTTAAAGTTGTATTAGACCCAAATACTACTTTCTTTATTGCAATTAAACCAGGTTCCTAGGAATGTTGATAAATGAATGATTGGGTCTAAGTAGCATACTATAATAACTCAAGTAAAATAAACAAGGATTCAACATGTCATAGCTTTTTCAGTCACTAGATGGACCACATTTTTAAGTACAGAGGGAAGACAAGGATGACTCTGGGGGTAGATTTAAGATTGTGTATTTTACAAAATAATATATAACACCTGAACTTGAACACACTAAATATTTTACAAAATAATATATAACAACTGAACTTGAACACACAAAAACAAAATTGATCATGACGTGAACCACATAGACAAAACTTCAATGGATGGACAAACACATGGACAACATCATCACTGACTCCTAAGAGAGAGAAAGAGAAGTGAATTAAATAAGGAACATTTAGTTGAACATGTTCTACTCTCTAATTTTAAATTTCATATTTAAAAAGTTCTTAGTTACCACAGAGTAATGATAATGATAAAAATAATTATATCAATCTTCATACCAATTAATGTTTATAATACAATTATTGCATACTGTTCAAAGATTTGGAAAAAAAATATTTAGAATTTTTGATGTTGTGGGAACAAAGGTTCTAGAAACACTCAAGTCAATAAAGCCCATCTGAACTGAGAAAAAAAAAATAATAGAGAGAGATGCAAGAAATCTGAATAGAAATAACATTATTGACACCACTTTTCCTGACCGTGTATATAAGATTTAAAGCACACATTGTGATGTATGCAGCAGCACTACCAACTTTATAAAACCATGTCAAAATGAAGAGACACATAACATGTATTGTGGGTAACGTTAAACAGGCTGACTGTGAGCACGTGACAGTGAAAACATTAAGATTATTTTAACTGAATTAAAATGGAAAAACAATGAGTAATTAACAAGCTTTCAGAACGAACATGCTACAGTTTATTGTGCTGTAAATAAGTCAACACATGCTTATCATGCAACAGTTCAACAATTAATTGTCCAGTATTAGAGGCTAATATATGATGGCTATGCATTCAAGACTGTTTAGCAAATCACCAGCACGTTGGCAACGTTAACTTTCCAATGAAATGCATCACAATTGTTTTTAAAGTTAAACAAAGAATAATTGATTCGCATTTGATACTCACACTCTGAATGTCATCCATCTTCGCTGGTCCTCTAATTCGGTAGGTGGCGCTGTCACTAAAAAAACTAGGGTTGATATACGATTACAATCGGGTTTTTGATCTCGGATGGAAGATGGCGCCAGTGCACTCGGCTTGCCGTCTCTCTCGTTTGTCTCAGTTTGTTGTACCTATGATACCTGTTCGTCTGACATTTGTACTGTTTGTATTTTATACAGTGTTACACTGGTATCATGTAGTCTCAGTGTTGACTTATGATCGTCAAGACTTATTTAATATTCAAAGCCGCATGGGAGATTTCCGTGGATTTTGTCCTGCTCTGCATTTTTGTTCTCAATCCTCGTCCAACCATCCTGTGGTTGAGTGCGCTCGCCGGCTACCTTGCTGCGTTCCTCCTCCAAGGAAGCGCCGCAGGAAGAGAGGTAGTCGTGGTGGTGTACGGGTGAGAATCAGACGGGCGATCGTTTCTTCCAGACAACCTACGATGGAGTTTCCCTCGGCTACTATAAGCTTGGAGGGCCTTCATTTGATGCGACGCTCATGGGATTATAGATATGCTTTTCATCTTCCTGTTTTCCCGGCCTTCACTCACTCATCTACCTACTCTGCTCCCCCGCGTTTACGGATTCGCCAGAGAGGAGTGAACTGTCAAAATCTACGTCAACTGGACTGGATTCATTGGGATTCGGCTTTGTCATCACACCCACCTATGAACATGGCCCTAGTCAATGCTAGGTCCATATGCAACAAAACTTTTATTCTAAATGACTTTTTCACCAGACGTAACTTGGATATTTTATTTCTGACGGAGACCTGGGCCGCCGTTGGTGAGTTGTCAGTCTTTGAGGAACTTTGTCCTTCAAACTGTTGCTTTATTAGTACTCCAAGATCTGCTGGTAGGGGTGGTGGTGTTGCTATGGTTTTTAAACAAACAGTTAAAATTAACACTGTTTCTGTTCGGAGCTACTCGTCGTTTGAGGTACAGTGTGTAACATTACAGTCTGCCTCCTTTGTGCTATTCTGTGCTCTTATTTACAGGCCACCTAATTCGGGCAGTGCTTTTGTAAATTATTTTTCAGATTTTTTAACTTATGTTGTTCCATTGTATGACTATATGTTATTATTAGGTGATTTTAATGTGCATGTTTGCTGCCCTGGGCGTCCCCTGGTTGCTGAGTTTTGTAATGTCCTGGACTCATTTGGTTTTATTCAACATATGAACCAACCAACACATGTCCTTGGTCATACTCTAGACCTTATTATGTCATCTGGGTTCTCTGTCGATAATGTATGTATTGAAGATCAATCCTTTTCTGATCATAAGCCCATTGTTTTTACGATTCCCGTTGTGAGCTCTGTTGCAGTGAATAGATCTGCAGGCTCTTATTATCGCTTCATAAACTCACTTACAGCCTCTCAGTTTAGTGAGAAATATTTAGCTCATGCAGTTGAAGGATTGATCTTGAATGCTAAGCCTTCCATCGGGCCTGACGATTTATTCTCTCTTTTTTATGCATCTTGTTCTGATATTTTAGATTCTATTGCCCCTTTTAAGATAAAACAACCAAAGCAAAAATCGTACTATTGGCTGGATAATGATACTCGCTGTCTCAGACAGGCGTGTCGTAAAGCAGAGAGGAAATGGAAGCATGATCGTTTAACTGTATCATTTGAGATTTTCAAGGAGTGTTTGGTTAAGTTTCAGAGTGCTGCTAAGTTAGCTAGATCTAAATATTTCTCTGATTTAATTGATAAACACTGTCATAGACCTAAGATTTTATTTTCTGCGATAAACTCTGTAATTAGTCCAAGGTGTCAATTTCGCGGGGAACCCTCGGCTGAACGTTGTGAGACATTTTTAACGTTTTTTGCTAATAAAGTGTTAGCTATTCGTTCATCTTTCACTTTACAGCTTCCAGATCAGTCTTCAAATTCGCTGTTAAGTCCGTTTTTCTTTTATAATTTTGCGCATGTCTCTTTAATGGAACTCTGTGAAGTGGTTAACAAGATGAAAACAACTACCTCCACAATTGATGTAATACCTTCTGATATTTTAAAAGCGGCTTTTCCTATAATTGGCCCCAGTGTCCAAGCGTTGATTAATTCGTCTTTGGACACTGGGATAGTTCCGAATAGTTTCAAGCATGCGGTTGTTCAGCCTTTGCTTAAGAAACAAGGTTTGGATGAGGGTTGCTTTCATAATTTTCGGCCTGTCTCTAAGTTATCATTTTTATCAAAACTTTTAGAAAAAGTTGTCCTGTCTCAATTGCACTCGTTTTTAAATGCTGCAAATTTACTAGAACCTTTTCAATCTGGTTTCACTGCCCATCATAGCACAGAGTCTGCATTGCTAAAAGTGTTCAACGACATTCTACTCGCAGTTGACGCCGGTAAAAATGCCGTTTTGATCCTACTTGATCTTACGGCTGCCTTTGATACTGTAGACCATAGCATTCTTATTTGGCGTTTGAAGCATTTCTTCGGTATCAAGGGTACGGCCTTACAGTGGTTTAGATCTTATTTTAACAACAGGTCTTTTTCTGTGGAGATGGGTACATTTTCTTCATCTTCTGCTCCTATTATTAGTGGAGTTCCGCAGGGCTCTATTTTGGGTCCCCTTCTTTTTAATTTGTATATGCGTCCATTGGGGGATATTATTAGGAAGCACAATGTATCATTTCATTTTTATGCAGACGATTCACAGCTGTACCTGCCGTTGAAAGCTGGTGATTCAATTCAACCTTTGTTGGAATGCATTGGGGACATTAAGAAATGGTTAGCGCTTAACTTTCTCCAAATTAATGAGGACAAAACGGAAACTATTGTTTTTGGTTCCCCAAAATTGAGGAGCAGTACTATTATGGAGCTAAGCAATTATTTTCCTTCTGTTTCCTCCCAGGTTAGGAACCTTGGTGTCATCATGGACTCAGAATTGTGCTTAACTAAACAAATAAATTCTGTTGTTAGGAATAGTTTTTATCAATTGCGGATTATTTCAAATATTAAATCGTTTCTGTCAGCACAAGACTTGGAGAAGGTTATTCATGCTTTTATTACCTCACGCTTAGATTATTGTAATTCTTTGTATCTGGGTCTTCCGCAGTCATCACTTGCTCGACTCCAGTTGGTACAAAATGCAGCTGCAAGGCTGCTGACCGGGACAAAGAAATTTGATCATGTCACCCCAATTTTAGCGTCCCTTCATTGGCTCCCGATCCATTTTAGAATTCAGTTTAAAATTTTGTTGTTTGTTTTTAAAGCTCTTAATAATCATGCTCCATTTTATATTACTGATCTTCTTACTCCTCTACCACCATCCAGATTAAGATCTGCAGACAAGGCTCTATTATCAATTCCCCGCTCCCGTTTAAAAACTAAGGCAGACAGAGCTTTTTCAGTTGCCGCCCCCCGTCTATGGAATCAATTGCCTTTGGACATCCGCCTTGCACCTTCCATTTGTACTTTTAAATCAAAATTGAAAACATATCTCTATTGCCTGGCGTTTGATACTTGATATCCTGTCTCAATGTTTTGTTTTTGTTTGGTTTTATGCTTCTGTGTTTTTATTTATTTATTTTACATTACTTTGTTCAGCACTTTGGATAGCTTCGCTATGGTTAAATGTGCTTTATAAATAAAATTTACTTACTTACTTACTTACTTAGGGTCCTAGAAATGCGGTCCTAGAAGTGGGGTCCTGAAAATGCAGCCTCCGGGACTGCAGGCAGATGCTACTCGACACGTGAGCAAAAGCGGCAATCTCATTGGTCGGATAGTTTTTGACGCGGTGCGTCAAATTAAAAAAATGAACCCGAGGCGTTTTTTAAAAAATGACGCTTTTACACGTGGCGTTTTTCGCGTCGGTGTGAACACTCACATTGACGCCCTTTGTTTAGTCACGAGGCGTTAAACGTCGGTGAATATCGCGCGCGAAATTCGTCCCGGTGTGAACAGGGCTTGAGCACAAGAGCTCTTCATCACAATGAACCACAACATTCAATAACAGAAAAAAACTCTAAATGTCCAACTGAACATTAAACATTAACATAGACTACCAACATATTAACATAATACCAGCACAATAATATCAGTTCAGAATTTTTTTTTTCTAATCAGTAGCGATCGTGTCTTTCTCTTCCACTTGATTTGTGTATAGCATATTTAAGCTAACAATGCAATGCATAATATCATATTACTTATATTAATAATATGACAATCTCTGCAGTCAATATTGATTAAATGGGAGGGGAAAATCCTGCCCATACCGCAGCTATGAAAAAAATGATAAAAGCATATATCACTGAAGTGGTATTCTGGAACTGTGAATAAATTGATTAAAACAGCAAAATAACAATAACAATAACATCTTCATTAAACAAAAAAAGAGATTCCCTTAGATGAAGTTTGATTAATACAGTAGCCTACTGGTAAAAAGTCTGGACCAATTACTATTTTTAATGTTTTTGAAAGATGTTTTTTATTATGCTACAAGCCTGCATTTATTTGATCAAAAATACAGAAAAAAAAAAAACAGGAATATTCAGCAAGGATGTGTTAAATATATAAAAAGTGATAGTGAAGACTTTTTTAAAACAACTTTTTAATAATAAAAAAAATCCTGAAAAAAGTATCACAGGTTATAAAATAAATATTAAGCAAAATTTCTAACATTCGATAATAAATCAGAATATTATAAAGTTTTCTGAAGGATCATGTGACACTAAATTCAGCTTTGCATCACAGAAATATATTTTAAAGTATAGGAAAATAGGAAAAGCATTATTTAAAATTTTAATAATATTTCACTATATATTATTTTTCTGTATTTTTGATCAAATAAATTCAGGCTTGATGAGCATAAGAGACTTCTTTCAAAAACATAAAAAATGGTAATGTGTCCAAACTTATGTAGCCTAATGTGTAAGTTAAAATATACAACATTTAAAATTAAATGTTTTATAAATTAAAAGGTTAGGAATCATATTTGTTTCAAGAGTTTTTTATTGGTGGTGGGGGGCCTCCAACATGAATATTGCCTAGGGTCTCCAAATGTCTAGAACCGGCCCTGCTGCTAAGTGAACATTACATTTTACTCATACCTTCAAGCAGAATACATCATCCTCCCAGCAGTGTTGTTTTTGGCAGCCCTTTTAGTCTTAGTCTAGTCTTAGTCTTTTGGACGAAAATGCTTTTTAGTTTTAGTCACATTTTAGTCACTTAAAAACGTAATAGTTTTAGTCAAGTTTTAGTCGACGAAAACAAAAAAAGGTTTTAGTCAAGTTTTAGTCGCCGAAAACGCAAAAAGGTTTTAATCAAGTTTGTCAATTTTAGGAAAAAAAAAAAAGTCTTTAAAAAATAGAGAAAATAAAATGCGGCTGTGTCAAAATTGGTATCGAAGTTCAAAAATAGAAAAGAATTAAAG